ACTCATGGTAGAAGCCATGACTTGCCGCTTTGCCCTCCTGCATTACGATAGTGCGTCAAAATCAATGATAGAATGGTACTGGTAAGATTATTCGAACCTTGTATAACTTCTGAGCGTTGACTCAAATATGGAGGCCTGACGATGACGAGGGAAAGAAGATTATTCCATCACACTTTGAGAAGTACCGCGAAGAACGCAATTTTCGATACCCGTGCTGCTTATGTGCCGACGGGTGTGGAAAAGAGGCCTACACCGAGGCGGCAGTGTATCCTTGGAAAGATAAGACTACTCGAGAGACTTATTGGAGGGTAAGATGCGCATCTGATGAGTGTGGATATCAAGGTCAGCTTCCTTCATTCTCGAGGATATCCCAAACTAACCATGACCTACCAGTGAGAATAGACACATACTACCGGCTATCGTCTTTAGCCACCTTCCAGTACCGTCGTCGAGGTATCAACTACATTCCTGTGGTGCAATAATTTTATTGATAAATCAGCAGGAGAACATGAAAAACCATGCTCTATTCGATTCGAGTGGACATACCAGGAACAAACGGAATTGTTCAAAAAGCTTGAGTCGTCCATTGGTGATGGAATTACAGCGAAAGAGTTCCAGGTTTTATTTAGACGCTGCAAGCTTTGCTCGCGAGTAGGAGCGAGGTCGATTATGAAGCACCATATCCAGACCTGTTCAAGAGGGGTCCAAAAGCAACGACCTAGGAATAATCCGCCATTGCTGAAGCTACGTCTGCGATAGGCTGTCGTACTAGAGTCTTACTGATCCTTATCGATCAAACTTTACACTTACGTAATGGTGCAAATTTGCGCTCCTGACATCAACCCCACTCGCATTGATACTATGAGAATGTGCTTAATGAATACGTCGACACAAAACCAATGGAAAACTTCAAATTGGTGAGGGTGTTTAGTAACTGGTAAGGTGAACCGAGCACGCTTACTTACATAATTCTAAGGCTGATCATCACATTGAGTTCGGGTGTCCGGGCCATATGTATCAACTTCTTGTCCTTTATCACCAGTCTCCACGCCGATGTGACAGTCCCCAACGACATTCAAATGTTATATCAACGATGTGGATATGAAACCTAGGTCCGTATTCGATTTGTCGTGTCCATCATCGTGACATTGTTGGGAAAGTGACTCAAAGATTGGACTGCAGTGAGATAATCTGGGTGTACGCTAAGCACTGTTGACTTTTGAGAAGTTTGAAGTCGCCAGCATCTGACCAGTATAATATTCTTTTTCAGGTAAATGAACATGGCTCTCATCCCGCCACCATCGCCTGGCTGCCTGCCACCGCACCCTATGCAAAGATTTTTGTAAAATGTAATGGCATGCCGAGCTCGTCACCACGTATGCCCTCTTTACGTCTGAATTTTCTATGCGGAAGTCTAACCTCACTGCCCCGCCAGGGCAGTACCCAGATACAGATTGACGTCTAAGAGTCTCACACAGGCGCATTCATAGTGGAAGGTTTGTTTCATCTCGAGTCTCTAGCTATTTCAGTGCTCATGACTCTCCTAAAAGTTGATCCATCACTAGCACTGATGGCCAGCCAGAATTCGAATTGTTTGATAGCCAGTAACGTTGATTTGATGGCCAGCTGTCATACCATTCAATCGCCGCCCAAATCAGATTCCGATTCAAAATATTGGTTAACAAACGAGCTCCATGATAGCATGCGTCGCGCGTGTACATATTTCCTTACCACAACAGTCATGATACCAGCTCCATCCTATCTTCCACCATTCAACTCCTCAGCCATTCATAATGGCATGTGCGAGCTTTCGGACATATTGGCAGGTCCCAAATGGTTGGATTTCTACATCAGACTCATACCAACGAAGACGGCAAGTCTACAATTTCTAAAGTATCAGTTCACCTAAATGTTTTTATGTAGCTTCGGACTGAATTGTATATTCTGTACTTCTTGCTCAAAGGCCAAGTCTATCACGGCGATATCTGGCAGATAATCGGAGGGCGTATATTGGAAGCACAGACAGAAGAATCGTTGCGAACGGTTAAGGATAACAAAGGGCGCGTAACCGTAGAGCGAGCTTTCATGGAACAGAAGAGGGATCAATGTCAGCTGGAGATGTCTTTGTGCAGCCAGGCTATCGATCACGTACAGCAACGATGGATAATGCGTGAGATTCTCCCAACTACGCAAACCAATGGTCTGACACCTCACTACTTAGCAATGTGTGCTATTACAACTCGCTCACTCGTACATAACGACAGCCCTGGCTTAACAACCTCAATATGTATCGCTGAACCTACTGTAGCCCGTTCAGTATCTACAGAGGCCTGTTCAACATCCATAGGAGCCTATTCAGCAGCTGTACAACACAAGTGCGAAACTTGGTTAAGAGAGCAAGACCCCGACTTCACGCCAGTTAGACAACTTTTTTCGGACAAATATGGCTACTCAAATTGTATCACACATCTAGAGCAACGAATGCCAGTCATCGTGCACGTCAGTACTGTCAATTTTTCTACTTGGCTAGTCTGACATTATCACTGAAGTCCATCGACTCCTCGTTCCACCTGTCAAGCACATGGGTCCCACCTGGCGTTCAAGAGGCCTTTGATAAGGCATGCCATTTGGAACTTCGCTCTCAGACAGGACTCGTGGCAACCTACCTTGATATGGAAGGTTACCATTCTCATCAGCGCAACCCCGAGTTAGAGTTATATCACTTGCATGTGAAGATGTGTCGTGCCAAAGCTGAGGTAGAAGTTTATGAACTGGCGATTGGAAATGCGCCTGCATCTGACTACTCTGACAGCGACGGTGGGCACGAATTACTTACGTCCTCTTCAAAATGCTGATACCATTGCAGCTTCGTCATCACTTGGCAGCCACCCTTAGAGGAGACGAGGCGCCTGGCTACGCGTGGTTGAATGAATTCACATCAGTCGTTTTCACATGGACATCTTACAAGCTATCAGACACATATCTTTATGCTCATGTGTACATAACCTTTGTGATACCATGTACTAGTTTCCTTACCTTAACGTACTGGCTGCCATGATTTCGTGTTTAGATGTACAATATTGAGTATCTTCTCCTGCACAGCGCTTTGCTAATTAAATCAATGAAAACATCCCCAATGGACCTTATCACAGCGGAGTCCGAGTCAGATGCTGACTGCTGTAGTCCAGGATTGCTTGTGTTTGCCAAGGCATTGTCTTACACATATCAAAATCACGAGGAATGGCTGACTGGCGTCAGTGCTCCATCAATTTTGCAATATATGATTGTTGTCTGGTTGTTGATGACCATAGTCTGGTTTGGGCAGCAGGTGTACCACAGATATTGAGAACTGTTGGTGATTTACAAAAGATTACCTAGGACACACCACACTTATGAATTCAGGCCAGTATTGCATGTAGTTTGTAACTCTTGATTGCCAGCTGACTGGCATTGCAAGTAGCAATCATGAAGTTCAGCTCAGGCGATGGATGACCACAGGTTTGGAGAGATGCAGAACCTTTTCAATATTTTATCTATTGTATATCATAGTTGTTGGGACATATAATCCTTCATCAAGTTTGGCTTGTTCTTGCAACTTCTTGTCCTTTGATGCCATCGTGTCATGATTATATATTGCTTTGCCTTTGGATATAATCCAGTAGACATGTGATCTGATGTTGCTATTTGTATCTACAAAAACCTTTTTCCCGCCGGTTTCTTGATGATATACATATTAGAATTACTGTAAATAGTGATGTTCAAGGCCCGGCTTCAGGCCGTGAGCCGGGCCTAGCCGGGCCCACTTAGGCCAAGCCCAGCCGGGCTTTGTAGACGGCCTATGAAGGCTCAGGGCCTGGCTCAAGTTGTGTCCAGGCCAGAGCCAGGCTTTCAGGCCACGGCTTTCAGGTACGTTTTCATTCAGTCGGCAATGACCGTGAAACTGCAATAATTTCAAAGCCTCAGCTGTCTAGGATAAACTAAATTGAGTTTTTGAATTTTCAACAGGTCATCCGCATATGGTGCTGCGCGTCTATTCCGACGGCGAGGAACCACCTACTAGTACGGCACGCCCTAAATGTGTTGCTGTGCCATCAGCGAAGGTAATTTGTGCAGATAATGCTGCTGATCAAGAATTAGCTTCACACAGGCGGGCTCACAATGATGCAAGTCATGCTGCCAATGCTCCTTCTGTCATTTCTGTGGCAATACCTCTGAATCCCCCAAGTACCACATCTCCTATGAGTTCTCATAGCCACAAAGTCACTGTTGTTGAGGTTGACGATAACGACAATGATATCGAGCTGACGGGCAGCACACACAAAAAGCGACTGATGAAAGGTGTGTTTATACTATTTTGTTGGATAAGTACTGACTAATACCTACATCATTACAGGCAAAAAACGAGCTTATAGCCCTGATCCTCCCGAACGCGCAAACAAGACTGAACACAATGCAAGTCCATCAACTGGTGAGTTTTCCTACCGAATGAAACAAATACATAATACTGACATTTATTTGACATATGTAGTCAACACACCGCATGCAACTAGTTCAGCAAACCACTCTGACGAAGTTGATGCTGACGGCTTCCTCAAGGATGTTCAAGTCATGAGCATCGACGAGGCCTCTGAAAACCCACGTCAAGAGCAGCAAAGTCGCGACATCACCAAGTTTTTTTCCGAGCCTTACACTGACAAAGGCAAGAAGCACTGGAATTGTCGACTGTGCAGGTAAATTTACATTTCTGTCTCACGCACATTGTACTGACTACACGATAGCAAGAAAATGAAAAAACCTGTTGCTTTTGTCAATGAGGTGACGACTATGCGACGCCATATGGACGCTTCACACAGGGTAAGTATTGCCAACCGAGAAAACATGCCACTAACTGTTAATAGAACGAATATCTTACATGGGCCGAAGCCGAGAAATTTGTCTCGATGTTACCAAAAGACACCAAGCGCCGCAAGCTTGATGCTGCTGCTGACTCTCAAGCATGACTCGACGCCCACCTCTGTGAGCCGCAACCAAAGGAACAGATCATCCCATACTCAGATGCAATCTTCTGCGAGGCCGCCATTGAATGGCTGATTGAAACTGACCAGGTATGTTTTTTTTATTTAATTCTGGCAATTGGACACTTATCAGTTCACTGCAGCCTATTGACGCACTCAACCACAAGTCCTTCAAATATATGATCGATGTAGCAGCACGAGCTACCAACGGTGTCAAGCTACCTAGTCGACCAAAGACGTGCCGAGCCATTATCGACCTCTTCAAGCGTAATCTCACCAACCTTCGCCGACAGTTACTTGTTAGTCATTTGTTGATTTTTTTTGTTGTTATTTCTAACGTGAACCACAACAAGAGTGATGCTGTCAAAGGATGGATCAATCTGACATGCGACGCCTGGCAAGCGTCAAATGTCGATGGCTATTTTGCCCTCACTGGTCACTGGATCGAAGAAACAACAGTCGGCGTTTGGACAGTTCAAAGTGCCCTTCTTGGCTTTACTCGACTGAACAATGCTCACAATGGCATCCGTCTCGGTCAGGCGCTGTTCAAATTAGTTAAACGTGTTGGGATTGCACATAAAGTAAGTAAAATTCTAGCTTTATAACAGTGTGGCGCTAATGGAGTTTCAGATTGGCTATATTATGTGCGACAACGCAGCCAACAATGATACCATGATGGAACATTTCGCAGTCCACATCGAGGCACACACCAAGAAGACATTTGATCATAAAAAACAGCGCCTTCGGTAAGAGTTTCTTTGTCTTGTTTATTACTACCAATTCTCACTTATATATTCAGGTGCTTGGCCCACATTATCAACCTCGCAACTCAGGCGCTGTTGTCCACATACAGCAAGTCAAGACACTACGACACCACCCAACCTAACGATAATTTGCTAGCCCCCGCAACTCACTCCGCACTTGAACGAGACGAGGTTGGATTAGTCCGATCAATCTGTGTCAAGGTTTGCCGTCTGTCAAATGCACATATGTTGTGTTGACATCCTTCATTGTAGGAGCGCTCCTCAGCTCAACGAAAGGATCTTTTTCAGAGTGTCCAGCGTCGAGACGAAGATGGCCACACGCCAATCAAACATCCACGACAATTGCTTCTCGACATGAAAGTAAGGTGGTCCTCAACATACACTATGCTTCAGCGTGCATTCAAGCTGCGAGATGTAAGTTCAATTTAGGATGTCAATGTTGTGCCCACTGATGTTTATTAGGAAGTTGACTATTTTGTGGGCCGGCTCGGTTTGCAAGAGAAGGACTCAGCTAAACGGAAAAAGATTACGGACCTTGAGCTATCATCCGAAGAGTGGACCCGTGTTCAACGTCTGCTCTCAATCCTCGGTGTACATATTTTTATCTTACAACTTGAATTGTGGCTCATGTCGAAACTACAGTATGCTGAGTTGTCACAGCAGTCCTTCTCATCTGAACAAGGACCAATGCTTCACTTAGCATTACCTGCATTAGAGTCGTTGCATAGCGCATGGTTGTCACGTTCTGGACGCATCAAGTATCTCGATTTTGCGGAGGGCCTCGATGCTGGTATTGAGAAGATTGCAAAGTATTACGAGAAGTCCAGTAGTTCTGACGCCCATATTATGGTGATGCGTGCGTCGTTCTTTCATGTACATATTACTCCCACTGACTTTCCAATGATAGTTCTTGATCCGTCACAAAAGGAGACCCATATTCACAAGTATTGGGGCGAGGAATTGCTTGTCGAAGCACGCAGACATGCAGAGGAGATGGTAAGTACAATTCCAAAGCTGTCGTCACAACACACTCACTAATGTTACATCTAGTACAAAGAACGGTATCTCGAAATGTACAGCAACAATCCTGACTCTAGGAATGGTGTCGAAGTCAAGGTCAGGAAGACAGGGAATCGCAAACTCGATGCTCTGCTGCAAGAGCTCTCTGATGGCGAGGATGACAGTGACTCGATGCTGCAGCCCACCCTAATCTCTCGCACAAGTTCCACAAGTTCTGTTACTCCCTCTGAAGCTGCGAATGAGCCGTGGCGGCACGACTTTCACGCTTACCTCAACTCCAAGGACCACCTTGGAGATATAACTATTGTGCAGTGGTGGGGCATCAACGCACCTCGATACCCAGTCTGAGTGTCACTCGCGTGTGACTTCCTTTCCATTATGGCCACATCTGTGTCCAGTGAACGTGCATTCTCATCTGCCGGTATTACTATCTCCAAGCGCCGAAATTGTCTCAAACACGACATCATTGAAGCACTGCAGTGCTTGAAATGCCTGATTAAACACGATCTCCTGTTTCGCAAGGACCCATCTGTTGCAACCGAGTCCATAGATGATGAATTGTCCGAAGATAAGACTCCTGCTGCTCTCAACAAAGATGATGGGTGGGATGATGTTGCCGAGGATTTAGGTGAGAATGAGGAGCTGTTAGAATCAGATGACGAAGATGTTTTTATTCAAATGTTAGATGAAATTTGATTTACTTGCTACGTTTTTGTATCACAAGGCCCTAGGCCCAAGCCAAGCTGAGCCCCAGCTGAGCCTGAGCCCTACCATAGGGCCTGGCCTTGGTTTGAAGCAAGCCCCAGCCCTCCAAGGCCGAGCCATGGCCCCGGCTTTTGGGCTGAGCCGAGCCTTGAACATCACTAACTGTAAACACAATAACTAGCCTTATGCCTACAAAATGTATAATACAGCTGGCCGGAGTATGTAGAATTAGTGTTTAGTGTTAATATATATATAAATGATTACCATCAGTGGTAGTGGCTAGCTTTATGCCTGCAAGATATAGAATTCAGCTAGCTAGTTGGCTGGCCTGATTTCACTGCAGGTAGAATCAAGCTTGCCAGTATGCAATTCTGTAACCAATGACTGACCAGCCTTGACTCCACTGTTGTAGAATCAAGAATCAAACTGGCCAGGACACAATGTTGAAACTGATAACTGGCCAGTCTTGGTTCTACATGTTGTAAAATCAAGTCAGCTAGTCACTTGTTATTAAGTTGCATACTGGCCAGATAGCCTGTACAACATGTAGAATCAAGACTGGCCAGTTATCAGTTCCAACATTGCATCCTGGCTAGTTTAATTCTACGGTTGTAGAATTAAAGCTGGCCGGTTTAATCCTATAGAAGAATCAAGCCTGGCTAATTATTGGTTTGGGATTTCTATACTAGTACTAGTCATTAGTTACAGAATGTCATACTGGCCAGTTATCAGTTTTAATATTGCATCCTGGCCAGTTTGATTGTACAATAGTAGAATCAAGGCTGGCCAGTTATCAGTTTTAATATTGCATCCTAGCCAGTTTGATTTTACACCAGTAGAATCAAGGCTGGCCAGTTATCAGTTCCAACATTGCATCCCGGCCGGTTTAATTTTACAACAGTAGAATCAAGGCTGGCCAGTTATCAGTTCCAACATTGCATCCTGGCCGGTTTAATTTTACACCTGTAGAATCAAGGCTGGCCAGTTATCAGTTCCAACATTGCATCCTGGCCGGTTTAATTTTACACCTGTAGAATCAAGGCTGGCCAGTTATCAGTTCCAACATTGCATCCCGGCCAGTTTAATTTTACAACAGTAGAATCAAGACTGGCCAGTTATCAGTTCCAACATTGCATCCCGGCTGGTTTAATTTTACAACAGTAGAATCAAGACTGGCCAGTTATCAGTTCCAACATTGCATCCCGGCCGGTTTAATTCTACAACATGTAGAATCAAGACTGGCCAGTTATCAGTTTTAATATTGCATCCTGGCCAGTTTAATTGTACGATTGTAGCATCAAGACTAGCTAATTATTGGTTTGTAATTTCTATACTAGTCATTAGTTACAGAATTTCATACTGGCCAGATAGCTTGTACAACATATAGAATCAAGACTGGCCAGTCATCAGTTTTAATATTGCATCCTGGCCGGTTTAATTGTACAATAGTAGAATCAAGACTGGCCGGTTTTCAATCACAACATTGCATCCCGGCCGGTTTACTTGTACAATAGTAGAATCAAGACTGGCCGGTTTTCAATCACAACATTGCATTCCGGCCGGTTTGATTTTACAACAGTAGAATCAAGACTGGCTGGTTTTCAATTCCAACATTGCATCCCAGCCGGTTTAATTCTACAACATGTAGAATCAAGACTGGCCAGTTATTAGTTTTAATATTGCTCGGTTTAATTGTACAATAGTAGAATCAAGGCTGATCAGTCATTGGTTTCAGATTTGCATACTGATCAGATAGTTCCTACAACATGTATGATCAAGACTGGCTGGTTATTGGTTTCAACATTTCATACCAGCCGACTTGATGCTGTCTATTGTAGAATCAAGGCTAACCAGTTATTGGTATCAGAATTACATGGACTGCATAGGGTAGATATAAGCTAGTTATATACTCTTATAAGGGCCAGCCATGTACATACATGCTGTAGGAACCATCTGGCCAGTCCATATCTTAAATACAATTATCTCGGCCAGCTGTGGACTACATAGAGTGGAGCTAGTGCTAGCTATGCTACCTTGTCATTCATTAGCATTGAGAATTATCCTGTCATATTTTTCCTAGCAAAGAAAGTATACCAGATCAAAGTATAAATTGACATCCATTGAAATTTTTCTCTGCCTCCTCAACAAATCTTCCCCACATCAAGACCTGCTGATAAGCATAGGCTTGATGACCAGGTCTGGTGGCTTGGCCACCCCTTCTCTCCCATTCATTCTGGTGGTACTTGAACCAGTTTATGGTCCAACCCATTTCATGTCTTACCAGCCTTAATTCCTCTTGCCATCTATTCCATCTAGCCTTAGCCTTCAACCAGTTCACCCTGTAGACTAGATCGGTTGGAGCTTTAGTGACATATCATAGAGATAAAGATTTTTTCTTACATTCATCTATCCAGGCATCGTCTTGACCTTGGCTTGCATTATTTCCCCTCCAAAACCAAGCCAGCCTGTCTGACCCTTGTCTAAATCTATTTTCTTCTGTCACCTTTTTGTCTATACTGAGCTCTGTAGGCGATATTGGCTGATAAAGACTCCCCAAGGTGGCTTTATCCATGCCTAGACCTTCCATTGCTGACCTTGCCCTCTGATAGCTTCTTACACACTTGTCAATTTTGAGCTGACAGCGTTGAGCTTCTTGCTTTGACCTAGTCCCAGCCCATGTAGAATTAGCACTTCGAAAATACTGACGATAGATGATGGCCTTATGACCAAGGGCCATTTGAAGCTTTTCGAGGTAGTCATTGGCTTGGCCCTTTCGAAGTTTTAATTCTTCAGCTTGGAGGGGACCCAGTCCGAGAGCCAATGCATCCTGGTAGGGCATTGATGATGGCATCCAGATACCCATCTCTTCAGCCAAGATTTCTTCGTCAATATACTCTGAGATCTCTTCATCTGAGACCTCTCCCCAACCATTTTCATCATGACCTGCATAGCAGAATCTAGGATCGTCGGAATGCACTGTTGCAGTTCCAAGATCCATACTAGCAGTCATGGCATCAGCTGTTTCATGAAATTTAGCTATCCTAGCTGTCAATCTCTGTCGCTTCTCTTCTATAGAAGCTTTCTGTCCTGGGGTTGCATCAGTAGGAAGTTGTCGAATATCTGCCCTTAGTCCATCCCTAAAATAGTACTATGTCAAACGGTTTCTCTATTTTTATTGGTTACATACTGTAAATCCTCTAGATTGATGCCAGTAATGAGCCAAGAGACTGTCCTAGGTTTGCTAGTGTCAGTATTCTCAGACTCAGTTAATTTAAGTCTAATCTCTGCCATAGTTGGAGCTAGATACAAATACTGATCAGATGTCTATACAAGAATAGCAGCCTCACAACTAGACAGAGTTCACTTACCTTTGTTCATCTGCAACTGATAGATGTCAAGATACTCTCCACGTTGTTCCATGGCCTTTTTCTCATCGATCTTCCATATCGAAATCTTCTCAGGGTCTAGAGACAGAGTGAGCTCATCAAAGGGAGACTTTGTGTCATCAACACCTTTGAGAGCCCGTTTGTACTTTTTCAAGAGAGTCTTCACTGGAAGCTCAATTGTCAAGCTTGTTCAAATGCAAAATTTGGAGGGCTTATTTATTCCCACTATTTTTTTCCAGTTTGAGTCTCACATATGATCATCAAGAACTTCTTGATGGTGAGCCTGACTCATTGACTGAGCAGTTGGGGAGATCTTATTGAATGGTGCCCACAGAGTCTCCAAAATCTCCCCATCAACATGTCCAGCCCCTTGAATAAAGTTGAGGCTGTACCTTGCAAAGCAAGCCAATTTGTGAGCACTAAGATGGAATTTTCCAACTGCTGGAACGATGTGCATATTTTGAGGTACAGACAAGCCCTTGCTCTGGGCTACTCTCTGTAGAAAATTAATGCTCCACTGACACCCCACATCATAAATGATGAGGGAAGAGTCTATACCAGCTGAATAATAATTCAATGCATTGCATATTGAGTAGTCGATATTCATGTGTCTAAAAATTACCTGAGCTTGCATAACATGTTGATTTGGAGGACATATACAGACCTTTCACCCTTCTGAAAATCAACTATACTATGAGGAACAAAGCATCCATGTCGAGCATAAGCAGTTGCTCCTACACCTGTAGCTCGAAGATTGCTCCTGCTGATATTGGCTGCATTTACTACACGATGATTGCTGCAAGAAGACCGCTACAAAGATAGTGAAGCATGAATGAAAAGTGGTTGTCATGAGCCAACTCACCTCTTTACTTTCTACAGCCGATGACAGATGAGTCTGGTATTCTTGATCTTTCACCATATACCCAAGCCCGTCTGACAAACTAATGTCCAACTGTGGTTTTCTCATTACCATATGTTGAGCAGTGAAGTTCCCGTCTACCACATATCTTTGTGAAACAAGCCAACTGTACAAACAGGTAAGCATAAGGTTAAAAATGTGCAAAAAAGAAAAGTAGAAGTCTCTCTCTGGACCAACTCTCTGGCTGGCATGTCTTTGAGTGACATCTATGCACCTCAGTTTAACCGGCCAGCATGGTTATGCATGCTATCTGTGTCAAGCTAGCAAGCCAATTTAATGTGCCGGCCGGCCTGGTTTTACATTCAGTCTATGCCATGCTGGCCAGCTTGATTAGAACATAAGTCAGCCCGGCCGGAGCTCTCGTACACTATGCAGTGTAGGGCTAGCCAGTAAGTATGATATTCTCAAGTGTGGTAGAGAAATTGAGTCACCTCTCCTTAGAATGAGATGGATAAATGACTTGCCTTTCATATCTGGCTTGCCAGTCAGGAGGTAGGTTAATCCCAGGCTGTGGACAAGCAGGGCAAAACCAAGCCAGATCACCCTTGTCCGGTTTCTGCTCATCATTATGGGCAAAGCCAAACCATTTTCGACTCATCAAGTCTCTCCACAGTCGAGACACTCTCATGAGTTCTCAATATCGATTTTAGAAAAACAAATTGGTACTGTTAGTTTAACTTTCACCAAGAAGACTTATAAGACTTACAGGAACAGTATCTGGGAAACAGTTATTGGTCATTCAACAGATTTTTTCAAAGAAGCTGGATGCTGAAGTCTTGCACTCCAGTGCGTCAATTAGAAAATGATTGAGGACATCAAAAGTAAAGGCAGTCTGTGGTCGAGTGGTACTGGCTGGAAATAATTTAGCTTTCAGCAATTGCAAATGCTGCTAACAATCGACCCCAGGACAGCTGCACCAGACAATGTTGTGCAAAAACACTCCAGTGGAATGTACAATGGTCAACTTGGTTGGTATAGTTGAACCATGAACTGTCTCCATTGATGAAAAATCGGCCTCTGCGTCCATCGGAATATTCTCCCATGCATGCATGTCATCAGAAAATGGACATGGTTGTCCCCCATGGCCCATATACCAGATAAAACCCAATTCTTCAAGTGATGTGTCGTTGAAGCATTTCCCAGTCCACTCTTGAACCTTGTGGAAGGGCAAAAACTGGTGAGCATTGACAATGCAAGAACGACAGAATGTCTGATCTCCACTGCAAGTCAAACAGCGGAATTTCCCTTCACCAATCTGACAAGACTGGCACTGGGATACATCGGAGGGTTTCTCCAAGTCAAGGAGAATATCTAAGTACAAGTCTCGGAAAGGCAGATATTCTTGGATGAAGTCATTTTGTGTCTGGTCGTAATAATCTCTATTTAGTACATCATTAAAAAATACTGAATCACTATGCTTGCCTTGGTTTTTCTTTGTGAGTTCTCTATATAAGAAACAAAGTCACCAAGGGTTTGTCTATCAAAATCTTCATGACTGTTTTGCAACCCTTGAGTGTCTTCTCTAATACATTTACGAGGGCTGGAGGATGGAGATGATGTTGGGGCAGTGTCATAAAGGCTATTAGTGCATGATTCCACCCAGGTTGGCTTCCTTCTTTGTCCAATGACTTGTTTATGAGACACATAGGCAACATCAAGGTCCTTGCCTTTAGACAAACGACCTCTTCCTTGGAAAGAAAATATAGCTGCCTTGAGTCAAGTTTTTTTCTTGGGAGACATAGGGTTACGTGTGGGGGGAAAATTTGATATTATCAACATTCTATTTTTGATAGTTGAAACCATTCATAGGAATCACTAGATCACATCAACTAATCTAATAGGTATACTGTCAAACACTTGATTTGTCCCATTCCACCCCTCCTCCTCCAAGAACCACTCCTTTCTTATCATCTACTTGTCACAACAAATAACTATCCTGCTGCCCCACCATCTGCAAAAAATAGGCCTGTGTTGGAAAGGGGGGTCTGGATACCCCGACTCTAGAGTGGATTTTATCCCTCATAAAATGGGCAATAATGAGCCTTTCTCCCGAACCCCATGGACCAATAGAATGTTGTAAAACCTTCCCGGAAATGAAGACCATTGTCCCAGGGTAATAATCCAGTTTGGCCCCAATATCTGCTAATGTCAACTTAGCCTCATGGCCACTGCCTAAACTAATCAGAAGATCAAAAAGAGAAGGTGCGCCACCAGAATCTCTGTGTGATAAAGTTGTACGATTTGCAATTATTTCCAATCCTGAGAAGATCGAGGGCCAATCACAGATGGGTGGTGATGTTCTATCAGAACCTTGAAGTTCCTCAATAATACGAGTGATTGCCAAGGTGCCTGCTTCGAATAGATCTGGAGCTGATACAGCGGTAATGGCATTCCAGAAAGATTCAGTAGCTGATAAAGCAGCTAGCCACTCTTGGACTTCCACAGACTTATAGGAAGCCGAGGTAACCATTGGGTCTTCCAGTCTCTGCAAATGAAATCAAACAAAGTCAAAAGTAGCTAAACAACCACTAAATTTGGCCTATACCTCGTGTCTTTGCATAAAATATGCTGGTGATACTGTGACTCTGCCTGCTCCAAATTCTCCACCCCCCTCTGGGACAACAAAGCCTTGAGATCGCCAAGACTGTTGGGTGGAGGACGTAATTGTTTCAAGAAGTAAAGTCCATAAACCCTTAGTGGCTGAGTTCACATATTCCTAATTTAATTTATCAATTGATGAGGGGAATTCCCAAGGAAGAATGAACATACAACCCGAGAAGAAGACAGAATATTTGGCAAGTAAATTGTTAAAATTTTACCTTGCCTGTCCACAATAGTAGCTGGTACTGAAATTTTACCAATCATAGCTGCAGAAAAGTACTTTGGTAGCTGATTGGTATTAGCGAGGGGACCATCAGATTTAGGTGTAGAGACTTTGGCCATTTCGGCAAATCTGTCAACATCCCAATCCACATAATCTGCAAATGATGTGAATTTAAAACCAGGTGATATCTTGTAGAGTGAAACAACTCACAAGGATTTACCATTGCATGGGCAACTGTCAGTGCAGCTCGATTGATCTCATATTCTGAGATTGACCCAGAAGCATGGAAGTTGACATCACGTGTTGCTAAGCAACTGTCTAGCTCATGTCCAATTCTTAATCTTAAGTGAGACCATTTAATAGAGCGGATCAAATAAGGCCCCAAATATAACCTCTCACCTTGCTTTGTGTAGAAGGTGAGTTTGCAATATCCCCTCTCTGAAGATCCCTGTTGCTGATGATTTTCCCATAATTTCCTTGATCCTTGTGGTCAGAGCTGCTCTCAGCTTGATTGATTGACTCATTTGTTGGTCCATGGTGAGCAAGGAAAATTTTCAACCAGCTCGTTCGGATCAAGACTCAATTTAACTTATATGAAATGATTCCGAAAAAATTGTCCCGCGATCAAATTTGGATATATGAATGGAATCTACTGATGGAAGACTGATTAAATGAAGTCTTGCCCAGATTGTGACATAATTAGTACTGTAATAACTCGCTCAGATGCTGGAAGAGTGAAGACTAATATTGGCAGACTACCACAGAAGAATGAATGATATTCTGAATCTGGGACTACACTGTGGGATCCCTGTCTCAAATAGCAGGAGACACTTCCAGCTGGAGTTCAATGCCTTGAGAGACAGCAAGGACTCACTTATTAAGAATGCAATCACAAAAACAGTAGTGTATAATAGTAAATTGGCATCCGGAGGACACCAGGACAAGTAGCAATGACGCCATATGATACAAACTGCCCTGCACCATCAGAAGGCTGACTCTTCCCTTCTGACCATGGAGGGGAGATACCTCTGAGGTTACCTCTGAGGCATATACTGGCTAGCCCGCCCTCAAAACTGTTCGTGTTAAGAGTTTTGCCTCAGAGGTAATACTTAGTTAGCTACACCTATACTGTAGGGTATTGAAATTTTTTTCTTTGTTAACCGAAGAAAACATTCTCAATACCCTGCAGTATAGGTGTAGCCAACTTACCTCTGAGGCAGAACTCTTAACACGAACAGTTTTGAGAGCAGGCTAGCCTCTAAGCGGCCTATAGGGTATTGAGAATGTCTGTCAGTCCAAAATATGCTAGTAGCCCAGGCAGATGGTGACAATGATGCCATATGATGACTCCCCTCTGTGGTCAGAAGGCAATTTCAAAGAAGAATCAACCTTCTGACTGGGAAGGGAAGTTTGTATCATATGGCGTCATGGCTACTTGTCCTAGTGTTCTGCCACCATCTGCCTATGCCAATAGTATATTTTGACTGGCAGACAATAATCAATGATAGCGTCCTTCAGCATGTCAATGGTGAGCCGCATCAAGGCAGAATTGAGATCTACATAACACATTATCTATCTAAGACATGTAGTAGATAATAGTTGCTTTGGTCTGCACAGTGCAGCATTTGATTATTATACACTACTGTGCTTTTGCGCTTGCTTTCTTAATAAGGCTCTTTGCTAATATACACACGGTCACGTGACCTTTTCAGCCGGCAGCAAATAAAGTGCGTCCATCAACATACATTTTCAAATACAAAGTACGAGTGACAATAAATTTTACTACAAGTAAGCAAACAAATAAAGTAACAAATACAAAAGGGGAGGCGAGACTTCAATAAGGGGGCCCTCCTCACCAAAGCCTCAACACTTCAGGTGAAAATGTATGTAGCAAATATATATATAATACAATACAAATTTGTCCTGTAGAAACGTTAGACCAAAATTTAAGACAAGATTAACACTTAACTAGAGAGCACTTGCCACACAAAAGTACCGGCAGGTTCAGCAGTCTAGAGAACAAAACAGATCAGTTAAGGTCATCAGGAATTGAGCACTTACCACCATTAAAAAGTTGGAGCAGGAGCCACTGACAAGTGGCATGCACTGTGCTGAGCCCCAGTCCCAATAAGCAGGAGCCACTAACAAGTGGCATGCACTGCGCTACCGCCAATTCCAAGAAGCAGGAGCCACTGACAAGTGGCATGCACTGTGAAACCGCCAATTCCTATAAGCAGGAGCCACTGACAAGTGGCATGCACTGCGCAACCCCCAGTTCCTATAAGCAGGAGCCACTGACAAGTGGCATGCACTGCGCAACCCCCAGTTCCAATAAGCAGAATACTAAATAGAACAGACATTAGCAAACAGACGCGAGAGAAGAAGGACTTACATTTAAGGAACTGGAAGGCGCTCAAAGGGAGGAGTGGCTCTAACTGCGCCATCCAAAGTCCCGAAATTCGTAAGTATAATACTAAATAGAACAAACGTGAGCAAATGGACATGAGAGAGGAAGGACTTACGTTGGGAACTGGAGGGCGCTCAAAGGGAGGAGTGGCTCTAACTGCGCCATCCAAAGTCCTGAAATTTGTAAGTATAATCCTAAATAGAACAAACATTAGCAAGCGGACGCGGGAAAAGAAGGACTTACGTTAGGGAACTGGAGGGCGCTCAAAGGGAGGAGTGGCTGTCACTGCGCCATCCAAAGTCTCCAAAATCCTAAGTACAACAGACATTAGCAAGCGGGTGTGAGCAATTAAGTACTTACCTTGAGAAACCTCAAGGGAAAGAGAGTATATGTAAATGAAACAGTTAGTAAGTAGGCGCACCACCAAAGTTGAACTTACTATGTTTGAAGGGCGACTGTAGGGTAGTACCTTTGAATTCTTGCAGCTGCAGTCTGCAAGAACCCAAAGGAGTACACCGGAAGTCGCCCTGAAGTAACGGCACTGGCAGAAATAAAGGATGAAGGAGAATGATGAAGGTAAGACGAAAGAAGAGATTGAACCGTGAGAACTGATTGTTGTTGTTCATATTCACGTGTCAGTTTGTTATTGTTTGTAAATAGTCATGTGATTATCAACAATGAACTCAACAGCGTCATATGGCTAATCCACAATTTAACGCGTCACGTCAAAATCCACAAATTCAACACGTGCCAGCACGTGTTGAGTGGATTTTTGACACGCGACACGTTGAATTGTGGATTAGCCATATGACGCTGTTGAGTTCATTGTTGATAATCACATGACTATTTGGATCTGTTTGTCACAATCAACCAACATTCAAACTTGTTCATTTCTTTCTAAGTACATTCAGCCGGCACTCTCCTCTCTTTGCATCTGTTTGAACTACATAACTGTAAGTGCTATTTGCCATGTCATTTACTAATTTGAATATATCTATAATAGTCTCTCTTCACCATGGTGAAGTCTAAACAAACCTGCAAGAAGTCCACCGGTGGCACTGCGCCACAAATTGCCTTGTTGTTGCCGGCATCTACTGGAGCGGTCACTGTGCCGGGTGAGCTGAATGTGAGAGAGCCGTCTGAACACAACGAGGTAAGTGATTAGTTACCTACTATTTGCACTAACACGCGTCTTTATTTGCAGTTTTGTCTCATCTGCAGAGACGGTTCTGTAGGGGAAGATTGCCTCTTCCTCTGCAGCACCTGTCTGCGGGTGATGTGTTCAAACTGCATGAACATCCCGCCTGCCAGTGCATGCACGGTGCAGGCCGATGACGTCACGTTCGTCTGCATATCTTGCCACGTTGGCATGGAACGACACGGGCACGCATCTCAGTTGCCCTATTTTGTAAGTTTTTTCGTTTATTTCATGCTAACTAACATTCACTTCATTTTATAGGGTTTTTACAGGAAGGGGCAACCACTCCTTCCTTCATTCCTCCAAATTCGCGCTACGTTGGAGGTTTCACTCCATTCCCAACTGTCTTCGGCACCCACGCTCATGCTCCATCTCATCCTCGTTGACCACGACGTCACCGGCGGCTGTTTTGAACTGGCCTCCAAATTCCTTCGGCCGTACTTCCCCAGCAGAGGGTTTGAATTTTGGTCCATCGCGTTCGACATCAGCAATGCCTCAAAGATCGACAAGTACCGGTTGCAGGCGACTGCCATCGTCCAGTTGCTGATGAGCTCCAACTGGGCTCGTGTCATTGTCGCCATCACTAACCACACCGACAACGAGAATGGGGATCCATTTATTGGGTACAAGGGCAACAAGAAGTTATACATTTCGGCACGTGTTCACTCTGTAAGTGGCATTTTTTTTGACTAACATTGTATTTGCTCATTTGACACCAAAGGTTCTCGATGTTCTGCTTTCACCTTGGCATCCCCTGATTCATGGTGCCGCGGAATCATACTTATGGCTGTTTTCATGTGGCACGCTCATCAACAACGTCACTTCCTTTTCAGGCTTGCAACAGGCGGTCATAGAGTAAGTCCATTTGATCTTATCTTTGCAAATACTAACTAACCCTAACAGTCATCGCATCACAGCCACTATTGGCTTTAATGCTGTTCGTTTTCAGCCGAGTTTCGCCACCCACCTTTTGCTCGCATTCGCGGAGCTGGTCATCATCGAGTGTTTGCCCATTCACATCGTCTTCCCTGACATGTTGGGCCAGTCCTACAAACTTGGGCGCCACACTGACGTGTTCTTGCTGATGCCTGACAACTCAGGTTCATTGGCCGTTACCAAGTTTGCCTGGACGCATTCTGAACTTCGCCCTTGGGGTCAGTACCTGCCGGTCCAGTGCCCACAGTGTGGGTGGAGTAACACCTGGTGTTCTGTCAACATGCACAAAGATTACATCTTTGAATGCAAGAATGGCCAATGTAGGAAAAAGTATGTATTCTCACAACCACCTCATTCCAGGATCCTTTTGCCAGGCAAAAGACCTGGCTCCTGCTGGATTTCGGTTGTCTTGAGGCCCATGCCTAGTGTCCCTGATGAGGATGAGGATTAGGATACAATTATTTTGTCTTGGCTTTTTCATACATCCCTTCATGTTTCATTTTTCTTCATCTTACTTGATTAGATTACCCTCACCACTCAATGGAAGTATAACGTGTTTTGGATCTTTTTACCTGATGTGAATTTGTCTATTATCTACACTGTCTAACTCCACTCAATGGAAGTATAATGTGCCTTTAATCTTGTTACTTGATGTGAATTTGACCGTCTCAATATATCCAATTTGATAATTGATTCAAGATAAACATTGCAGGTAGGCTGGTACAGGCGGTAGGAGGGTGGCTAGCCGAAATTAATTTGAACACCCATGTTTATCAACAATAACGTGTGACTTTTATGAAAAGTCACACGTTATTGTTGATAAACATGGGTGTTCAAATTAATTTCGGCTAGCCACCCTCCTACCGCCTGTACCAGCCTACCTGCAATTTTTATCTTGAATCAATTATGATGTCTACCGACTGGTCTATTGCCTTTAAGCCAATTCTCGACCTTCACTCTAAGGCCATTTTTGCTGCAGGTTCCTCATCTGTTGGAAAGCCTGTGGTGAGGAAGATTCGGAGGCCTTACTAGCTGCTCAAGACGAGCAAGAGGAACCCATTGCCTTGCCTACTTCCTTGAAAAAGGTCACAAAATTTTTATACTGTACATGTATTTAGTTATCTGATGATATACATAAATATTACCTACAGGCAATAAAAGAATACTATGCCAAAAGTCTCAAAGACAAGGAAGAGGCAGACAAACGTGAGGCAGCGAGTCGCCAAAGAGAACCATCTTTCTATAAGAAACCCCTGTCTGAGTGGGACGTAGCACAGAAATTATTTAAGCAGGAGATCGACTCATATGACAAGGCCCAACAACAGAGTAAAGGCTTGGAGTATTCAATCAAGTACCGCACTGGGAATGCCAGGGAGTGGTTCAACAACATGACACCTTCACAACAGCAGGAGGTCAAGTTTGCCATGAAGAAATGGAATGAGGAGGGGGCACCAGAAGAAACTCAGGCAATGTAAGTTTTACTTCAAATCTACAGTTATTCCAGTCTAACACTTTGGCTTGAGATATCGTAAGAATAACCTCAAGAAAATTCTGGAAGATTTTGCAGAGCAAATTCAGCGCACCATTGTCATATCCCGTGTTCTGGGTCCGGACCTATCACACTCATCATTTCCGGATTTCCGGATCCGGCCGACTTCTATGTATTGTCCGGATCCGACCCGCGTCTAACTTCCGTGCCTTATCCCTTTGGTATTTCCCTTATCAGTTAGTACACTTTATTTTCCGTCCCTTATTCATTTCCGTCTTCATTTTACTAAGTTCCGATAAACTAGTGATAGTCGTCCCATATTTTTCTCCATAGCTACATAGCCTCGCACTGCACTCACTGTTCTCCGTTATGTCCTCAGTAGTATATAAACCCTGTACAGTCTCTGTAGTTTCCTCAGTTCAAATATCATCTTAGACTCTGCTCATTACCTCTCTCCGTCCGACTTGAGTTATCCTCTCGTCGACCTCCGCTCGTCTTAGGATTGATTCCTATAGACTTGTCACCTCCGCCTCTACCTTGGTAGTCCTCCGCTGTTTCTTTCTAGTTCGGACTTCGTCCGGATTAGTCTTATCTCTTGTTCCCAAACGTCCGCCGGA